GCGGCAAACACGGTTAAAATTACAGTCAATGTATGGGCTTTTGGCCCACTTGGAACCGCTATAACGCCGCTACAAAGAGGCGGATTCCAACATTTGACACTACTTTAAATAGTTTCATTGATATCATTCATTCAGCAGAAAATATAGCTATTAAAGAAGGTAATTTACATAATGTTGATTTGAAGGGTTTGTATGAAATCTTAAAAATTTGTTTACGGTCGTCATAACCTGAATCTCTTCTTTATACTTCATGAAAATAATCTCAGTACAAATGTCTTTTAAAGTACATTTTTGCTGTGGAAATCCGCCTCTTTGTAGCGGCGTTATAGCGGTTCCAAGTGGGCCAAAATCCCATACATTCACTGTAATTTTAGCAGTGTTTGCCCCCACCCCCGCAGCCAAGATGGCGTAATAAACCGTGAAAAGGTCTATTCCACAAAGGATTTGTCATAATTGTGTCAGCAAACAGAGCTAGGCGCCGTATCAAGACTCCGCCCCAATGAACAACACTTGGTATGTAAGGGAACATTACTATCAAAAGCAAGTCATTAAAACTCACTGAAGCTCACTTATAACAGAAAACAGCGTGGCCGAGCGGTTAGAACACTGGACTTGTAATCTGGATACCCTGGGTTCAAGTTCGGCCCTGAACGCCAGCTGAATTTGTTCTCGGTAGTCCCGAATAGAAATCCTCAGCCATGCTTGTAAAATAGCCAACTGGTTCGCCTCTTACCAGTTGGGATTCTTAACCTTGTTATGTTCCATTTCAGTTATTTGCTTCATTATCTTTGGAAAGCTCAATTGCTAATACATAGCACCATTTTGAATTTGATAACTTGCTTGAACAAGCAGTCAAAGCACGCCGTATGGTTAACATTAAATTTTAGCCAAGCAAACTTAACTAGCTAATAGAATCAACAGCAGAGGCATTTAGCCTGCGATCATGCCCTCAAGCCCTATATCTCTATAAAGTCTTTCCGTTGATTTGACTTCCCCGAGTACAAAAACATTTGGTAGCAGCAGTTTTTCTCGCCCTGATAACAGGTCGACCAGATGTCGGCGTATTTAAAGCTAGGGGCGGGTGGTGGGGCCGTTGGCGACTTGTGAAAAAAAATGTGCCAGTTCTTTTTTTCCCTCTCTTCTCAAAAAATGATAATATTAATCACAATTAAAAAAACGCCTGATCGCAGATAAGAAATTATCCGGCGCTGGGGAACCACTAACCAGTGTAGGATTCTTCTTTAGGTGATGAACAACTTTCTTCCTTAGTTTTCTATGAGAGAGTATCACTCCTTGTATGAGCTCCAGCTGTTCTGAGATCGCAAAAAACATGCAATTTCCTTCTCCCCGATTGTCGGATATTTCAAAGCCTTTTTCATTAGCTTTTTTTTCAAATTCAGCGAAGGATCAGTTTTGCCGGCATTTCCTTTTGCTTCCATCTTGCATATTTGTCGAAGGGCATCGTAAATGACCCCACCTGCGAATGAAAGGAGCAACAATATTCACTTTGAATCTAAAAAATGCAATTGTCGTACAGGTTCAATGCAAGTAAACAAGTTTTTATGCCTCTCTATTTTATTACCTCTGGCATCCAAAAACAGCAACCAAATCTGATTATCGCATAGGAAGGATGACAAACATCTTTTATGACACTGTATCTTCAGTCAAACTGATATTCCCCCTTACGTTCAGTTTTTCTTCATGCACTGTGGTTTTTGTTTTCGACATCTACCACACTTCTGACGTGGAAAAATGAGAAACGTTCCAAGATTGACAAAGTTTTTCGACCCTCCCTCACATGAATAAATTATGGTTGTATTTGCAACAAATATAAACCATTTCAACTGCTGATCCTCACCTAGAGATGGTTGGGTATCACTCTCTTGCTGTCTCACTTGGTTACAGCTCTTCATGCCGGAATTGTCTTCCCCGTTCTTTTCTTTACCTATTGAGGACAAGCAATAACTAACTTCTGTTATATGCAATGGAATTACACACGACGCCCTATTAATTCGGAGTAGTTGCAGCAACTTATACAATTTTTCACTGTTTACTTATTTATTTACAAACTTTGCAGGAAGGACTGCAACACTCATTGAGAAAGAACCACTACGAGGTCCAGAAAAAATGCCATTAACTCAAACCTCCCGCTAACTCGAAGCAATTTTTGTTTTCCTTCAGATCATTTCTAAACAATTTTACCCTCGATAACTCAAAACATATTTCAAGGAAGTGAAAATTCGAAAAAAACGAAGTGAACTGCAGACCAAAACATTGAATTTCTCTCTTTCTCTTGACTTGGAGATTCTTTACTTTTTTGTCAGTCCAATTCAAATACAATGTTTAGGGCGCCGGCTGTACTGATTTATCAAGGCTTTGTTGCTAAATTCCTTTTTCAAAATATCAATAAATCTCTTACTTCCCTTCAAGTGAAGTATATACGATACTTGCATTCCTCCCCCAACCATTTCTTTACTTCTGTTTTTTTAGCTTCGAACTCCCGATAACTCGAACTGTTTTCGATTTCCCTTTAAGGTTCGAGTCATCAGGAGTCCACTGTATTTCGATACAAACAGAAATGCCGGAATCAGTAGCCAATCTCAGTCCAGAGATCGCGACTGAAAAAACAATAAAGGGCCCATTGCACATTGAAATTCTGTTCCTTCTGCATCAGCTGTGATTATGAGCGTCATTTATCACACTCGAGCCGCTGCCTCGACAAGGCGTTCAGGGCGGTTTTCGTATGACAAGATTTAAGTACCGACGAAGCTGCCTTTCTGCAATGTAGGTTAAAATTCATTACTAGATCTTTACTCCCAATCTGGCTGCAGTGCTACGAGACACTTGTGAAAGATGACGGTCATAACCACCATTAATGCTGAAAAGGAAGAGATTTCCAAACGGTGCCGGACCCCTTATTAAAAGAACTGGAGATGGCATGGAAAGATAGAACATGAACATTTCCTGAATGTCCAATACTCACTTGAACGTCCATAGTGTGGAAAGTCATGAAATACGATGGTGTCACTGAGAATATGAGCTGTAAGGGAAGCTGCCATTAGACTTGCGAATGTTCTCCAAGAACCCTTAATTTTTCTGCCATCCGCGAAGTTTGAAATTCCTTTAATTACAATCCACTCAATGTCTAGGTCATGCGCTGCTGCATACACACCTAAATATGAATTTTTTGGGAAACGGAGAGAAGTGCAGTTAGGAGCTGACTCATGTAGACGCCGGTGGAAAGAGCCAGGTCAGGAAAGGAGACAGTGAACAGAACTTGACACCTTGTTTTGAGAACATGAATCTACAGAAGGAACGGACGTCATAGAACCCAATGCCGTATTTTCTCGATTAAACAGCGGGTCTTTAAAAAAGTGAGACCCTCAGACCGTTATTTGTGGTGTAATACTGAATAAACCAAAGATTTAGAGGCTAGGTAGCCAGCTGTCAGGAAAAAGGAATAAAAAGCACTTTCTTGAAAAAACACCTGTCCTTATCGTCTGTAAATTCAACAAATGCCGGGTCCACCGAGTCAAATTTGACAAAAAAAGAAAAAAAACGCCGGGGCGAGAAAATATAGTGATCAGTGTGTCATGATAGCAACGTTTAGATTGTTGAGAAATCTAATTTACAGAGATGTAGCTGGGTGTGTCCTAAGAAACTGTTCTCTAATAACAGAAAGCTATTTTTCAAATACACTAACTGAACTCCGGACAAGAGACGTACCTTCACCCTCTCCTTCTATAGCAACTGCTCCTCGAAATCGTTTGATGAGGGCGCGACATCGCTCAGGACTATCAACCACTTCTTGTCCACTCAAAAAGGCGCCGCGATGTATCTTCACCTCGAGTGCTTCTGTATCTTTCAAAGGAGGCTTCCAGCCATCACCAGCAGCTGTTGTCAATTTTGAAAGACGAGGCTTCAATGGAACTTTAACACCAAGTTCTTCAATACCATTCTCCGTGACTTTGGAAGGACCATATGTTATTAGCTTATCTAAAACTACTACGTCTCCAACTTTAACGTTTTTACAGTCTAAGCCGCTACAAGAACCCACAGCAAACACTGCTCTCGGACCCAAGACTTTGACAGCATTTTTTACAACAAGTACAGAAGATCCTTTACAGCACTTCATGATAGCTATGTTAAGCTTCATGCCATCTCCCATCTTTCCAAGGTACACGGGGCCAAGTTCGCTGTGGTAAAACCTACCGAAACCACGACTCAGATATGAAAGACAGCTTAGAAATTCCCAATCCTCCACCGTCAGTAACAAAATGTCGACTGGGAGACGGCGATCATCCAAAGATTCTGACCTTCCAGGAAGATCCTTACTCTTCAGCTGAGGAACAATTACTTCTGGTGGATCAGTATCATCAGTGGCAGATTCAGTTTCTGTTATCAATCAGTCCACCAATCAATCAATCAATCTTTATTTAGATACAAGACAATTAATGGGAGAACTTGACAAAAACGTTTATCTATCTGGGGCCTAGGCCAAACGTCCAACTTTTTACGAGACGAACCAAACTTTAATTTGGGTCGACCAAAATTAAGTTAAGATCGTCTGTTGGGTCAGACGTCGAACTTAGGTCGCGTCGAACCAATCAACTGAATCAGGTCACTAATAAATTTTCTCCCGAACGAGGCTAAATATACATTATAATATAAATTTTTAACTTATCAGTTTAGTTCGTCGCATGTATTAAAAGATCGACGTTTGTCCCAGAGACGATCTTCAGACGTTCTATCCGTCTGAAGCAGACGCATAGAACGTGTTGGGCGATCCAAGCTCATTCAGACAAACTTAACTGAGCCAGACGTCGAACTTTTCATGAACTTAACTCACTAAGGGCGCTTTCCATTTGTCAGAACTGACCAGCCAGCCCATTCCCATCATAATGAGAATTTCACTTTTAATCAACACTAACCATCCAGATCAGTCAAATTCTAAACATTGCGCACAAAGGAGATGGTTTTTCAGCAAAACCTCTTGGAAA